TGAAGTTTTCACGATGATCGGTAGCGATTTAAAGTTATGATTTGGTTGATTGGTATTTTTCTTTCCCTCTTTCCTTTCTTTTCTTTTCTTTCCTTTTCTTTCTTCTTCTTTTATATATGCTCTCTGGACTTTTCCTACTTTAAAATGATGGAAAACAGAAGACGGAGCCGCTCAGCTCAGCTCAATGATGCGTGCCTGTTCCACAGCTTGATCGGTGGAAGTTTTTCAAAGGGTCAGGGTTCCTTTTATGTTGTATGGAGAAGAGGACTGACTTCCTCTGTTTTACCTTGACACGATACTGCTACTGCTGCCGCTGATACCTGTACTAGGTCATTATTTCTACTATCCAAGGTTAATAATAATAACTGGTTTAAAAATGATTGAGGAAAAAGCGGATGCTGGCTGCATTCGGACCTCCAAAAAAGAAAAAGTTATACAATGAGAATGGGAGAGGAGAGAAAGAGTGGAAATGACAAAGAAACTCGAAGTGATTGAATTGGAATTGTTATATTCTTTATTTTTATTTTTATTTTTTTTTTCGCATTTTCCAGAAAAAATTAATTGATTCCCTCTGGGCAGAAAAGATACATAGTTACGCCAAAAAAGATCAAATCCTTAAGGTAGCACCTATTCCTCAAGAGATAGATATATATATACATGCATGATTCACACTCTTCCCACTGTAACCCGCGAGTCAACTTAAGGTTCCAAGGTTCCTATGAGCTGACCCACGTGACTACCAGAACTGGATGCCAACGTTCCATACTTGATACTTGCCACTCTTCACAGGATGTATGATATACGATACATCCAACACGGCCCGCCATTCCTCCAAGTGAACCCGTGATATTCCTACACGCCCCTTCGCTTCACATACCGCTCACCCGCTCTCCCAATCCTTTATCAATCTCAGCGCGATCTAGCCCCTCTTGGGGACAACAGCCATACAATGTCTAGAGACAGAGGAGCAATGACGCAAAGACTTCGTACAGCGGGGGCCAGCAGCACCAGCACAATTACCCAAGGGGAGACGACTGGCGGGCTGCAACAACAACACCAACAACAACGACAGTTTATAATAACAGGGCGGTTAAGGTTAAGAGCTGAGGCGGATAATACGGCGGTAACAGGAACGGGGACCGATCAGGTTACTAGAAGGAGCATACGCTGGGCGGAGGATGTGGTAGACAATGAGGGACTGGGGAGGAAGAGTTCGAAGGGTGTGTAGATGTCAATTTTCTTTTTCTTCTTCTTTTTATCACTTGAGAATCCCTTTAAATGCAGCGGGTTTTCCGCTCTTTGATCTCCTTCAAGCTGCATATATTTCTACATAACTCACAGCTCCGTCGTCATTCAAGCTCCACTTCCTTCCCCCATCCCCCCTGCCTCCACCAGTCAACCAACCAATTAACCCATCAGTCATTAACTTCGTTGTCTAGTCTGCTGCATCTACCATAAAGCCCGGCCGGTAGGCGAAAGTAGCTCCGAATCCTCATCAGACTCTTCTTCAAACGACAGCGACAGCGACAGCGATGTTGACACTGGCGAAGCCAGGATGGCTAGTGGCCGCCTACCTGTTAACCGTATGCATTGTCACCAGCATAGGCGGCATGATACTAGCAGCTCTCAGCAAGATGGGCCTTCGGGACATGAAGGGTGTGATGACAGTCATGCTGGGACCGATAGCGACACCTGCAGTGATGCGAATAAACGCAGGCAGATACAGATGCATCGTCAGCATCGTCAGCATCGTCAGCGGCGGCCAAACGCGTATGAGCGTATGCCGAAGTTTCGCTCTAAGAAAAACGAATGAATATGGCAGTACGATAAAGAGAAGGGCAAAAAAGCAGGGAGGATTGCAGGGCAGTAGTCCGTCGCCGTCAATTTTGAAACTTATTTCCGCAATTCAGTCTTCAAAAGCTTCCAGAGCTTTTCGCGAGGGACTCTAGTTATTCTCTAATAAGCCATATCCCTCCCCCACCCCGCTGGTCTTCTTCTTTGCCCTTCCTACGGTTGACCAGTAAATCCTCCGGAACTCTTTTTGCACCATATGTGTTCTTTTACGGGACGAATGAATGTGTTATGATTTGCATTGGTGGGTTTTTGTGCGCGGGCTGGGCATGTGCACATAATACAGGCATACATACAAACATGGGGATCGGCGTCCTCGTGATTATTTAGGTAGGGAGCATTA